TATATATATATATGAATGGACCCATAAAATATCCTGATGAACTTGCTTCCTGTCCAAAGTATACCCCACCTCACAGTAACTGCTGGAGACAGGCACCAGCCCCCCGCCTCGACCCCGAATGCTAAAGTGTTGAAGGAAAATGGATGGATGAATGGAGCATATTTACAAAAATAAATCCCAGCAGAAGAAAGCGGATGATGTAAACTATAAAAAATATCTGTTACTTATAAAAGAAAATACAAAACTTGGTGAAAGGATAAGAGACTTCTAAAACTAAGAAGCTTCACTTTGACTCAGAGAACAGTTACGTACATCTTTAACAGAAGTTCAAGAAAGCAGCTGCTTGTGTCCTTCTAGTAGCATCCAAATATCCTTCCTTTGGGGTTTGCACTATGAAAGGCCGTGAAGCTCCGTGGGTGTGTGTTTGTGTGCTCCCAGACTTGGCAACATGCCATTTTAAATGACCTTGCAGCAGGCGAGTCGACAGAGTCCCACCAGAGTTTCTTGACGAGCTTTCAGCCACGCCGTGAGCAAAAAGTACAAACAGTGTGATTTCACCTCTTTATGGATTTCCTGCCCGGCTCCCCGCTCCTCATCTTTAGTTAGTTTACCGAACAATTGGTTTTGACCAAATCTTCTCTGTGGGGCATGGAGTGAGGGAGAAAACTGCAGATGGCTGCTTTCAGTGTGACAATGCTGAAGTGCAGGGATGTCTTTACAACAGCTGCCTGGAATGCTCCTGTTCTTCAGTCATCAATGGACAATACACATAAAAACTTATTTAAATTTCTGAGTGTGATTTTGTAAGAGAGTAATAGCTCAATAAATATGCACCAAATGGTATCTTACTGTGACTTAGCATAACTAATATATTACAATTTATCTTTTAGGAGTTAAAATAAGTTTGGACTTAAACCATGGCCTTCATTTTACAATGTAGAGTCAAGGGAATGGTTACTTTTGCTACATAAAAGTGCTAACATAGTTAAAGTAAAGCAGGCTAAGCACACAGACTTTAGACATTTGGCACAACTAATTAACCACCTGGGATATTTCTCTTTATGATCACAAGAATCATTTATTTCTTTGGCAACCTAAAACTGTTGCTGCGTTCACACCTGCGCTCGGTGACACGTGTTTTTACTGCATGCCAGGTTTCTACTAACAAGCTCCCAGGTTACAATGAAACTTGGTAAAACAGAAAAGGAAGTTTTACTGTGTCTGATGCAACTTATCAGCAAAATCTCAGCATGCTCTGTGTGAATAAAAGAAATTAGAAAGGAAAAAACTAAAAAAAAAAAAACTAAGTGGAAACATATCTTCATTTGTTAGGTCTAGATTAATAATGGCACTGCAGTCATTTACAATTCCTAATCAATACAGACTTTCACCTCAAAAGGCAAAATTAAGCACAAAAAAGAGCCAGAAATCCCTGAGGTCAGTGTGTCTTAGTCCAGCCATGACTGATATCTATTGGTCATGGGGGAGGTGTGGTTCTTTCTTAAAGTCTTTTTACAAAGACCTACACCTCTTTCATCACTTTGTGAATGTGTGCACACACACACAGGCTCTGAAGGCCATCTGCCATCTATCATCCAACTCTATTGATTTACTCCTCATGTTATGGGTGATTGATGGAGATATTGCAGAGCTGGAGTGAGGAGGGGGGAGGTGGATCAACTTTTCCTCTTTCTGTATCTACCTCAGGTCTGTTGAGATGGAGAATAAGAGCTGCAAGAGAAAAGCACAAATCCACATATGGCACCAGGTTTATGGTCCTGCAACATTAATTATTCTTAGAATTGTATGAAAAGCTAAACTACAGGGGGTTTTATAACAGGAATATGGTAAGTTAATAAGCCTATTGCATGAAGACAAGCAACAGCCATTCGCTTTAGCAAATCCAAAATAAAATCGAAGCAAATCAGCAGCAGTAGTGTTATTATGATTTTTGTTATGTCAACAAATACCTCATTTTCCCTTAACCGTCGGCTTTTACTCTTTTATAGAACAGGGGCTGTTGTAGGGGCGGGGCCACAGGGGCACTGGCCACAGCTGAAATCTGATTGGCCCCCTGAAGTGCCCCTGTCCTGTCACTCATCTGTCCTACCTGGGAGTGATGATGGTGGGTGCAGTTCCATGTTCAAACACTAGTTGCGTTAATGAGTCAAATAGAAAAGTCCTGAATGAATCAAGCTGACAGAATTCTTCTCTTCTTAAAATGTGAACAATCCTGCAAAGAAGTCTTTCAGCTGACAAATGATGGCTGGATTTTCTCACATGTTGTGTGTTTGAAAATATTTTATGTATGTTCAGTAA